TGCCGGGTGTCGTCGATCCCCTTCGGGCGCCGCAGAGAGGCCTGCGCGGCGCCCATCACCTCCCCGCCCCCCGGCGCATCAATCACTTCGCCAAAGAAAATTTGTTCTTAACATCCCTCAGGTGCATGTGTAGATGAGATCGGAAGCGGTTGACAGCCGCCTCTGGAGTCGTGGGTTCCTGACAAATGCTAAGGGACACGCACAGCCACATGGCACTGTCTCTTCCCCAGTATTTTCTTTCTTTCTTTTGTAAACGTTTATTCACCGTTGAGAGACAGAGCGTCAGCAGGGGAGGAACAGAGAGAGAGGGAGACACAGGATCCGAAGCAGGCTCCGGGCTCTGAGCTGTCGGCACAGACCCCCACGCGGGGCTCGAACCCATGAGACCATGACCCGAGCCAAAGTCGGAGCCTTAACCGACTGAGCTCCCCAGGCGTCCCTCTCTTCCCCAGTATTGTGAAGGCAGCCGTGGACACAAGGGCAACCTTTCCGCTCCGGGGTATCGGCCCCCACCTGCTCAGGGACTCTGTCCAGCTCCGCGTGGAGGTGGGTCACCACTCCAGGGCCGCACTTGGAAACTTGGGCCAAAGGAAGTTTGGCTCGTGAGCCTTCTTACTCTCGTCGCCAGGGTCCCCTCCCCCTCCCCGCCTCTTCCGCCACCCACCCGTGTATCTCCCGGGTGGCCGGAGGAGGATGGAACACATCCGGGCATTTCCAGGTGGGACTTGCCAGCCAGAAAGTCCTCCCCGACGCGCCCTCGCGGGAACAATACTTAAAGCCCCCTGATGGAGCGCGGAGAGCCGGCTGTCGCATCTGTCTCCCTGGGACACCGGGCTTGGTGATCAGTGGGGGGAATCTCAGCCCTCTGCTGGCTGCAGTCAGCTGAGGAGGCTTTCTGGAAGCTTAAGTCCTCAAGCATGGCTGCCTCCGGGAGCTTCCCCCGCTGCCCTGAGCTGGACCCAAAGGGCCCTGCTTCTGTTTGCATTCATGCTACCAGAGCGGTCCGTGGGGGTGGGGGGAGGGGGGGTCCGCGACACAAATGCCCACTCCCCACTTGGGTGGCCCGGGCCCACCAGCTGCCTTCACTTTTGGTAGCATCAGCTATTTTAATGCAGAGTTAGGCACACAATCCTTGCTAAAAATAAATACAAAGGAAAACCCCAAAGTAGCTGAGCCTATTTCAATACCTTTTACTTTTCTTGTCCCTGGTTCTTTTGTCTTCTCCTTGTAAGTCTGGAGCTGCCTGTCGCACAGGGCCCACCCTGAGCGGCGCGGAGCTCCCGCCCTTGTCCTGTGGCCGCACAGCCCAGACGTGACCATGGGCAAGAAGAGAGTCAGAGGGACTGAGGGAAGGAAAGAAGGGAGCCCCGACAGCCATTTCTTGGAGCGCGGTTTATTTTAAAACAAAAAAAAAAAAAATTTTTTTTTTTACATTTATTTATTTTTGAGAGAGGGCACGAGTGGGGGAGGGGCAGAGAGAGAAGGAGACACAATCGGAAGGCGGCTGCAGGCTCCGAGCTGTCAGCACAGAGCCCGACGTGGGGCTCGAACTCACGACCCTCTAGATGGTGACCTGAGCCCAAGTCGGACGCTTAACCGACTGAGCCGCCCCAGCGGCCCCAGGGTAAAGGTTTTTCTTGGGTTGCTGGGTTCTGATTGCCTTGGGCTCTAAATAACCCACGGACCGGACCGAGGTGGCGTATTTTGGGGTGTTGTGTTTCCCTCTCCCACTGACGCAAAGAGGACAGACACCTTTGGGGTATCCACTCTTCCATTTAATTAAACAAGGAGGCCACGAGACTGATGTGGCGGCAATCCCCTGGGGGCCCACCTGAGCAAACCAAAATCCTAGTCTGTAAATGCCTCAAGGTCCCAATATCCAAGATGGAGACAGGATCACAAAGAGGGGGGTGGGGGGGGTACTTAGGCTATGGCCAAGTGCACCATTTCCTTTCTCTGCTCTGCACTTTCTCTATTTAAGTCCTGCCCCTGGCTCCTGGCCGAGCCCTCCTCACCACTTCCTGCTTGGTGCTGGGCCAGGCCAAACGATTTTTGCTCAAATAAATTCTTAAAATGCCTTTTTTTTTTAATATACAACCTGGACTGGAGTCGATGACCCTTCTATTTTTCGGGGGACTGATCCTCATCCAAGGAGGTAATTTCCACCTGGCGTGTCATTATAGCCTTCCCAATCCCTGGTCCCCTAAGGTGGACAGCCTCAGGGGTGGACACACGGCCAGATCCCTGGAAGTTGGCACTGGGCAAGGGAGAGAAGGAGAGGGACAAAGTCCAACACCTGGGTCCCTCGGTGAGTTTCTACTCCCTCCCTTTTTTCAGAATACGGGTCAAACTTGCCTGTTTCTTTGCACGTCTCACACTTTTTTTTTTTTTTTTTATTGAGAAATGGTTATTTTTTTTTTGTATGTGGAGGACTTTTTTTTTTTTTTTTACAAACGGACATTTTAAAGTTTATTTCTTTTGAGAGAGAGAAAGAGGGAGAGATTGAGCGCAAGTGGGGGGTGGGGGGCAGAGAGAGAGAGAATCCCAAGCAGGCTCTGTCTGCACTGTCATTGCGGAGCCTGATGGCGGGGTTTGAACCCACGAGCGGTGAGATCATGACCTGACCCGAAATTGAGAGTTGGGCACTTAACTAACTGAGCCACCCGGGCGGTCCTACAAACGGACATTTTCAGTTTATTTATTTTGAGACAGAGACAGCGCAGTGGGGGAGAAGCAGAGAGAGAGAGAGAGAGAGAGAGAGAGAGAATCCCAAGCAGAATCCACGCTATCAGCGCAGAGCCCCAAGTGGGGCTCGAACCCACGAACTGTGAGATTATGCCCTGAGCCCAAACCAAGAGCTGGACGCTCAACCGAGTGAGCCACCCAGGCGCCCCCCAGTGGACATTTTAGATAATACATGGTACCAGGTCTGGGTTCCGGGCCCTCCCCTTGCCGTGGTCATTGTTGGATTTGGGGCGTTCATTGGCTTGATAGGAAGAATCCTGTGGAGTGTGGCTCCTGCTCCCTGCTCAGTTTTGTCTTTTCTTTTTAAAATTTATTTTGAGAGAGAGAACACGCGTGAGAATGTGAGTGGGGGAGGGGCCGAGGGAGGGAGACACAGAATGCGAAGCAGGCTCCAGGCTCCCACCTGTCAGCACCGATCCCGACACGGGGCGCGAACTCACGAACCCTGAGATCATGACCTGAGCCGAAATCAAGAGTCGGACGCTCAACCCACGGGCCTCAACCCCAGGAGCCCCTTCTTGTTTTGTTTTGTTTTGAACAGTATGTGACTCTGTTGTGATTTTGCACGCCTCACTCTTGATACGAATTTGACTCACTTATTTACTTGTGTAGATGACACAGTCACGTGGTTCGGAATTGGAAAGGATCCAAAAGGTACTGAGGGCCAAGCCCCCTCCATCCCCGGGGCCCCGCACGCCAGCCCGGTCTGTGGAGGCCCACCCAGCTCGGCATGCCTGGCGGAAGTTTCCAGCTCCCAGCCACACGGCAAATGTGTCCCTGCCACCAGGGTGATGCGGCCACCGTGCAGGCAGGACCGCCTTGACCAGAGGGAGGCCTTGTCCTTCAAGGACCCAGCGTGTGTTCGTGGGAGGGGTGGGCAATCAAGGGGGCAACACCATTTAACATTTTAACTCAGGGGAAACTGAGGCTCAGAAAACTCAGGTGACTTCCCAAAGGACACTCAGCTTTTAAGGAGTCTTATTGGTTACCTACTGCTGGGTAACAAATTACCCTAAGACTCAAGTCACTTAAAAACAACACATCTTGGGGCGCCTGACTCTTGATTTCAGTTCAGGTCATGATCGCGTGGTTTGTGAGTTCAAGCACCACGTCTGGTTCCACACTGATAGAAGCCTGCTTGGGATTCTCTCTCTCTCTCTCTCTCTCTCTCTCTCTCTCTCTCTCTCTCTGGCCCTCCCCCACTCACTCTCTTTGTCTCTCAAAATAAGCAACAACAACAAAACTAAAAAAAAAACCCAATACATCTTGCTTATGCCTCACATTGTATGTGGGAGTTCAGGTCTGGCTGTTTCTAGCTCCGGGTCTCTCGGGAGGCTGTCGCCAAGAGAGGAGCCCGAGCTACAGTCATCTGAAGGCTTGACCGGGGCCGGAGGCTTCACCCCCAAGGCCGCTCACTCCCGCGGCTGGCGAGTTAGTGCGGCCTGTTGGCGGGAGCCTCAGCCCCTCGCCAGGGGCCTCTCTGAAGGTGGCTCAAAGGGCCTCACGACACGCTGGCTTCTTCCCCCAGAGCGAGCAAGGCCAGCGAGAGGGAGGCACGCGGAGGCCACGACACCCTTTGTGACCCAGGCTCGGACGTCACCTGTCATGACCGCCACCTCCTGTTCCCTCTACGGGAGTCACCAGGCGAGGTCCAGCTGGCACCCCACGGGAGGGGACTGTGCCCCATCCCTGGAAGGGAGTCGTGCCGAGGAATCGAGGGCACGTTTTAACGCCATCACAGGGCCGATCCAGGCCTTAACTTTAGTGTGCAGGACCCCAAAGCCCTGGGGGCTCGTGGGGCCCGCTCTCAGGATGTGAGGCACTGGGGCGGGCAGTGAGGACTTTGCCC